TGTTGAAAGAAATATTTGACAAACAAGACAGCATTTTCTGAAAGCACGCATCAATGCTCTTTTTTGTTACGAAATTGTTTTCATGTACAAAATAGTGCGGAACTGTAAAGGAATAACATTTCATTTACCATAACAATACATGGATGATTTGTCGTTGTATGCATACTTACAAACTTACCACTACAGAAATGATTAGATGAGAAAGATTTATTTCCTTGAACATTTAAACCAGCCGTTTTTAGCAGTCGAATTTCGCCAACGACAGTTTACAGTATTGTTCAGATAGTTATTTTGCTTTTGAAACATTTTTACAGCGCCTGTCTGTGAAGAAGTCTCCACAGTTTTACAGTGACGTCTTGGGGGTCTCGATATTTTTCCAAGGAAGTCTCAGAGAAAAACAGATGCCTGAAAGTCTTTTCAGGAACTGAAACTTTTTTGAAACTAGTTTAAGTTCAATATAATTACCAACGTTATGTATTAAAGAGAGTCGCTTGCGTTGTGCTTGCTAGTAATTCTGTTGTTATTGGACCTAACTGAAATTTTCGCGACCCGTTAATTTTGCGAATGTCACGATTTAAAAAAAATCGCGAAATTAAAGTCAAGTGAATAAGTAAGTGTCGGGAACATAACACATTATGTTACTGTTGACATATAATACCGCCATTGCGTTTTTGTTACTTTTGACATTATTGTACCTTTGATGAAGTCAGTTTACTAAATTCAAAGACATGTGTAAGTAACATTGCCAAGGAAATAAATTTTGTGTTACTCAAAAACGCGAAGTTAAAGTGATTCAAAATACAACATTTTAGCAAAATCGCCGAATTTAAGTGTCGAAAAATATGCGCACCCCCAAATCGTGAAATAAACGTGTCGCGAAAATTTCATGTAATAAGGTAGCCAACCACAACGCTTGGCTAGTAGAAAAAAGTTTTGGCTAGTAACATCTAAGTTATCACTAGCCACTAGGCTAGTAAGTTGAAAAGTTATTGTCGAGCCCTGAACCCTCTTAATACAGATTCAATTGTTTATCTTCTATAAGCCCGCCTGTTTACAGGAAATTTTTCAGGCACGAGTACTATCCATCCGGGTATTTTCCTCGGACGGGCACTATGGGCTGATAGTGTCTCTCCACGGATGAACACTATCGCGTCACGTGATCAATTTAAACCAATAAGATCAGAGAAAATTTAGTGGTGAACTATCACGCATAGAACTTGAAAGTGAATAATGTGATTGTTTTAGTATAAATCTACTAATCATTCAAACTTTACCTAAATCCTCTTCACATAAATCGTGCCTCTCTGATATTCTAGAACAGGGTGTGGAAATCACCAAAATTCAGTTAGTTTTGACTTTCCAGCTGAATGATTAACGAAGTTATGGAAAAAAATTGTAAAAGAAAAATAAATGCTATAACATGACTAAAAATATAACACAAACAGCGGTGATAAACATTTTAAAAACATGCATTTTATGAACTTGACGTTTCGTATGCCAGGCAACATACTGATTTTCAAAAGTATAACCGTTAAAATTTTTGGAAAGCTATTTATAATGTATCAATGGGGGTCTGGAACCTAGACAGGAAACATTTGCAGTAGGAATTTAAGACATATCAAACAGAAACTGTCTCTAAAGTGACACAATGGAAAAGCTTTCCTAATAAAGTAAAAGCTTTTCATTGCTGACATTGGCATTCAATGCTGACTGGAAATGCCCAAACCTAAAACTACAACTTTTGGTCTCCACTCCTTTACTTATCTGCCAACAAAAGAATGGAATTCCCAACCAATTTTATAAGGTTATGTAACTTCTCAGACTTCAAAAAGCACATCAGTAAAGCCAATTCATGAAACAT